CAGGTGCGAAGGTCGGGCTGGGCAGTATGTTTCTTTAAAACGGGACTTGGCCCATTTTTTCTCCCATTTTCATTTGGTTTGGGCAATTTTGAAGAGCTTCAAGGGGAGATTTTCAGCAAGCAACTCAAGGTAAGTGATCCCCACTTATTATAAGTTAAATACATGGTTTGTATAAGAATTTAAACATGAAAATTTGTAAAAATTGTGGAGTTTTGGTAGAAAACCTAAAATTTGGTATTTTTAGATTTATACCACGAATTTGACCATGGAATTGAAAATAAATTATATATTTGAGTTCGTGAGGTTATGGGTAAGCTTTATTTTCAAAAATTTTCGAAATCCGGGCACGTGGGCCCGAGGGTGATTTTATCGACTTTTCGAACGGAGTTGAAAATTGTATATTTATGGATTTGCTCATTTATTGACTAGTTTTGGAGCGTTGGGCATCGATTTGAGTTGATTGAATGGCTTGGGAGCCGGTTATGAAACTTTGGAGCGAGGTAAGTTTCCTTTCTAACCTTGTAAGAGGGAATTAACCCCATAGGTGAATTAAATTATTGTGTGCTTCTATTTGTGAGGGGGCTACGTACGCACGAGGTGACCAGAGTCCGTACGTAGCTACTAGTTATGCCTGCGTCCGGGTAGTTTTAGGCTCACATCATGCCTTGTCGATATTTTTATTGATTTATGTTTATTGTTTGCCTTGAGAGGGACCGAGATTGAGTCTGCTTATTAAATATTTTTGAAAGGAGTTAAAATTGGAGAACTTAAGTTTTAAAAGGTTTCATTTGAACTTCGTAATTTCGAAAAGAATTGAGGAATATCATAAAAGCTGAAGAAATCTACGTGTAACCTCATCGCATGTATGTTTCGCGAGCGAGGTAATTTCCTTAAAAAGCTACAAGCTGAATTTTCCTTGTTTTTAAAAGAACCAAAAAAGAGATATGATTTTTACGTTAAATTTATATTTGATCGCGTCGCAAGTATGATCCGCGAGCGGGGTGATTCCTTAAATTTATGTTTGACCTCGTCGCACGTATGATTCGCGAGAAGGGTATTTCTTACTACTCTTATGGGATCGGGCTATTCGCCTCAGCAGGTTAATAGATGCATCTATGGTTCGCGCCGTTCGACCCTCGGCAGTGCACAATTTACTTTTATGTTCGATCGGGCCGTATGCCTCGACATTTCCTATATATATTATCCTCATGGAAGCGCGCGTAATTTTTGGCAAGAGGCCAGTGTATCTGAGGTTTTTTTTCCTAATTTGAATTATGACAACCTCTTTGATGAGATCCACTATCTCTATATATATGCTCCGGTTACGGAGGGAACTTGCTAGTTGAGAGCTTGAGTAAAATTGTAAAGAGGGGAATTATACCACGTGTTTTATACGTGTTTATTTCATACATTTACTCAGTTTCATATTTATTCACTTCTTTACTGTATCTGGTATTATTGGACCACTAGTAAGTGTCGAAGTCGACCTCTCGTCACTACTTCTTCGAGGTTAGACGGGATACTTACTGGATACGTGTTGTTTTCGTACTCATACTACACTTGCTGTACATTTTGTTGTACATGTACATGTATGGCTAGTGGCCTTGTGAGCGTAGCAGTGTGGTTGATACGGGGACTTAGGTGAGCTGCATCTTGTGAGACGATCCGCAGCCAGCAGAGTTTCCTTCAGAGTGCTTGTATTTTCTTTTCTGTCCAAATTTGTATTCCGGACAGTTATGTATTTTATTTTGTTCCCTAATAAATGCTCATGCTCTTGTGACACCGGGTTCTTGGATGATTACGGGATTTTTCAGTATTGATATTTGCGAAAAATATTATTATTTACTCTGTGAAGTTCTTCATTTATTATTTAATTGAAGGAAATTTACGATTTCAGAAATATTAAAATGAGAATTTATTAATTATTGGTGTTGGCTTGCTTGACAGTAGTGTATGGCGCCATCACGACCTTTCAAGAATTTTGGGTCGTGACAAAATGCAACTACAACTTTTATGAAGGAACTGTATTTTGTTCAAAGTAAAAAAAAATATTCCTTCAATTTCTAATATAAATAAAGAAGGTAAAATATATATACTATTTTTAGTTTTTAAAACATTGAGTCAAAGTGGACTCTTGAGTTTATAATCTTTCGGTTTTTTTAACTCCAAATTTTTTCAAAGCCTTTCCATACGTATTTAGACCATTCTCTCTTTAAGTTCTTCCAATACAAGGTTAAATTTAATGTTTTTATTTAAGAATTCTTACCTAGTTCAATAAGAATAGATTTAATAATCAAAATTTAGTTAATTTTTAAAGTCCTAAATATTAACGTGTAGTATTATATCCTAAAACTAATAGGATTATAAGGCTAATATCTATAATTCCGTTTTATGTCCTTTTATTATGAATTATTATACTTAATATTATAAGGTTATTTTTGTAAAACTGACATTGTATTCATGCTTTTATAATAATACTAGTCTCTATGTACGTGTTTTGCACGTATATCTCTCGCTACAATTAAGATAAGTTCCAAAAGTAATTTCTACCAATAACTTCATATAAAGATATTTTTCGCCTTATTATGTCAAAAAGGTGTCACTTTACCTATCCGATTATTAAGTCATTATCTTATGACAAGGATGAAGGAGTCTACGGTGAAGGATTATTTGTTGCTAAGTATTTAAGAATTCTTCCTAATAATACTATAATAGTTGCTAGTATCATCTTTAGCAAAGTCAAAATTAAGATACATTTTGCTTTCATCAGAGAACTTGATAGTTAATATCTCATTTAACGAATCGATAGATTGTGCTAGCTAAGATTACTCTTTCCATCATATTTTTTGCACAAATTTTTATTTGATGATAGAAATATTTTATTTATTAAATAATGCGTTTATTTTTTTCCAATATAATTTATTCTTAAATATGTATTGTTTTTTTCCCATATAATTTATTCTTAAATACTACAAACAGTAAACAAAAAAATCTATATCGTTCATTGATTTGCAGTTTATAATTTGTTATTAGCCCCCGAATATTCTTGAAAGCGAATTTATTACGTAAGACAATCTAAACTTTAATATCCTAGCTCTATGATTGTATTGATGTGTCTAAACTTTCTAAACAAATATCATTATATATTTTGTATTTTCTTTTTAAACTGAACAGAAAACTCAGTGAAAATAAAAAATTTAATTGCTATTTATATATTAGTATTAATTTTAAAACTCTTATTTCAGTAAGAAGTCTATCAATAAACAAATTATATTTATCTTTTAAGATTCTCATTGAATTCTAATTTCAAACAATAGGATAGCGTAAGAGAGTAGTAGATATTAATTGTTTTGGATAGTAAGTGCAACTAATAGTAGAAAGTTGAGATTTAGCCTACCGCATATAAATTTTCAAGATCCTCAAGAGTAGATTGAATTGATTTCACTTTTATATATATAAAATTTTTCACACAGTAGGCTAATAGTAGCGTAAGAGAGTAGTAAATCTAAGAGCACATTCGCTATTGAATTATCTTTGTTTTTAGATAGTTCAATCATTTATTTAATATTTTGAAGCATACGTAGTTCTTACAGTAATAAAATTAATGAAGAGATCTATTTGGTTTCAAAGTCCCATAAAATAGTATTGACGTTGGCTGAACGTTAATATTCGAAATCATAGTTTTTGCAGAACACAGAGTTCTAGTGCAATCATACTATTAAAATTTAATGTAATTACAATTTTATCCGATATAAACTTATTTGTACTTTAGTTTTGAAAGGACATAAAAGTCAATCAATATTTTGAGGATATTTTGGTCTTTCAACATTTAGTGTTTTAACATTCGTGCTTTTATAATAACTGGTTTTTACGAATGTGCATTGCACGTAAATAATAATATGTAGATGTTTAGTCAATTATTTATATACACGAGGAAGAATTATTTAAATGCGAAAAATTAATGTTTATACATTATCATAATACTTGAAAAGAATAATTGGACGTCATCTCTGAACTTGAAAAAACATCATCTTAACTTGAAAAAAAATCATTAATTTGAAACTCAAAAGATGTCTCAAACCGTAAATTCTAGTTCCTTCCTTATCCACTAATACAGTAAAAAAAAATTTTGACACTATTCCTACAATAAAACATCAACATAGTTTCCATTGTTAGCTTGGCATCACTAATTAAGTATATTATAAGTACCATTAGTCAAATTCTGAAATTACTCAAGATAACCCCTTAAATCGAAATCTATTCATGCTTACTATCACATTTATCGTTTAGTATCAAATTAATCCGCATATCCTTTAAACCACTAACAAATTCAATTGTTATCCGATTTTGAGGGTAAACAAAGGTGATCAATTTTCTAAGAATATTTTAGTCCATCAATATATAGCTTTCTAACAGTACTTTTATAATAATATAGATATATAAATAGAAATAGATAGTTGTAGATATAAATATATATGTTCCCAATTGGGGAAGATATAGGGAAAAATAAGTACCATTAATAAGTGTTAATAGTTTTTCTTTTAAGCTTTATAAATTGATAAGTCATTTAAAATTTGCTCATAAGTTAAAATTCAATCTACAACATATGTTGTTGTAAATTACGTAAGACACTTTAATTTTAAAAAAAAAATTATTAATGTACTTTTCTAATTCAAGTAGGATCAACTTTATAGGGTCGATGTATGTGTAGTTTAAATCGAAAAAGAATTCCATCATTGAGTAATTTAATTACAATTAGATTCTTAAGCTATACAAATATTTAAGGGCATAAAAGTCGATCAATATTTTAGGGATATTTTAGTCGTTCAATATTTAACATAAATTATTCGTACTTTTATAATAATATAGATCATTCGTACTTTTATAATAATATAGATAGATAAATATAAATATAGACGGCCCGATTGAGAACCCAATTTCACTCTAATAGGCCCAAGTCTTTCTGGTAAGCCCAACTAGCAATTAATTTCACGTTGAATGCTAACAGATGAGAGAGTGTTCTTCTTTCTCAGTGGCCGGAAGCTTAGCTTCTGCCCTCGTTCTCGTCGTCGTCTTCTTCACTTCAGGTTTCACACTCACAGTTTGGTGAAATTAGTACAGTAACAAATTCATAGAGAGTTAGTCGCCAGTCGATCTTAAAAATGGAGAACAACGACGTATTAGGATCATCAACTGCACCATTGACGTGGCATGATTTTCTTCAGCGCATGCGTGATCCATCCGCCGCCGATTTCGTCAAAGGCATCAAAAGGTACTATCAATCCTCCTCTTATAAAGGCCTTTTTGTGTTTGCACCTGGAAAAATACCCTTACCAATGATAAGAAATTAGCAAGAAATAAAGTAGACAGATAACTAAATTAGGATATAAATCATATTTATAGTCAAATTCATAATTTGTGCGCCAAAAGCAACTTAGGAAACATTAGAAAGATCAAATTAGGCACTTAGTTTGGATAAAAGAATTAATGATTTAAGTTTTAATTGGATGATTTTGATTGGCCAAGTCAACTTAGGATAGTTAACTGGGGAAAAAAAAGCAAGAGTAGTTACTTATGCTCTTATATTTAATTTGTTCACTGCAATAATTAAGTTTGATAGTAACTTACTATGTTTGCTTGAAGTATATGTTAGAAGATAGATCTTAATGACTATAATTGTCATCTTAGCATAATATCTCCTCTCACTCTTCGTGATTATAAAACACTTAGGTGGATGTATTCATGGGCTTGGGGTTTTCTACTAAATACCTAAAATCCTAAAATTTATGACTGCAAAATTGGATATGTGCATATCTGATAAGTTCAAATTCACATAAGCAGCAATGTATGCCATTTTAAATCAACTAGGGCCTAGAAGAGATGTAGGTATACGTATGTCCATTCGAGGAAAAAGGTTATTACTAATTGGAACTTTTTGCAGTTTTATTGTATCATTCTTGAATAATGCTCCAGATGCAGAGAAGGACAGTGCAGCTGTGCAGGAGTTCCTCGGAAATATGGAAACAGCATTCAGAGCTCATTCACTTTGGGCTGGATGTTCTGAAGAGGAGTTAGAGAGTGCTGGTGAAGTGAGTACACTTTATATGTTGAATAAGGCTTTAACATGAATGTTATCAGTGTTGTTTGTCATTTGCATTTCAAATTCTCTCTCCTCAACCTATCGGCTTCCTTCCAACCCCACAAATCAACCCCTAACCCTACAAGCCCCTAGGGCTTTGGATCAATAGTTAGGACACAACTCGGGATGTGCGGCTAGGGTGCACGTCACAAGTTCAAACACTGCTCCTAACAAGAAGCCCTATATTTAAGTGGAACATGATAGATTAATGAGCTTATAGTCTCCTGACTTTCAAACTTATGATATCTGCATGCTAATTTTTGAATATACTGAAGGTTCAGCCTGCTCCATGATATTGATAATTATCAAATATCAAATCTTAAAAGCATAAGTAACAGAAGGAAGTTCCACATATATCCTTATCCCAAAAAAAAGGTTCCACATATTTCTCAAATATTTCAAACCTTAAAAGATTAAGTAACAGAAGGAGTCAAGGAACAGAAGAAATTCAGATTTCCTCGAATGTATTCTTTCCCATGTCTAAATTAGATTTTCTATTGGTAATGTGACTAGAAGTACCAAGTACAATTATCATATATTCCCTTTTATCTCATCATGCTTACATCTGTCATAAATTTGTCAGTAAAAGGCTCAGGTTATAATTGTATAAATTTGCTCCAACATGTGGACTCAATATAATGTGTCTTATTCATGGATAGCACATCCTTTATACTCGATGCTTGTGTATGGCTGTATGCTGCTTCTCGACTGATCATAAGTTTAGTTGTTTCTGAGCTGTCTATACTTTGTTTGCTCATATTCGTATTATTTTAAACAACAGGGACTTGAGAAGTATGTTATGACAAAGCTATTTACACGTACATTTGCTTCATTTCCTGAAGATGTGAAAGTTGACGAACAGCTTCATGAGAAAATAGCTTTGATTCAACAATTTGTTAGGCCTGAGAACTTGGATATCAAACCAGTATTTGAAAATGAATCATCATGGTTGGTAAGTGAACTCTGTAAAAAGTAAATTTCTGATGAATCATTAATTGATTCTGTTCAAGATATCATGAAATGAATGCAAGTGAAGGGATTTCTCACTTGCTTCCGGAGGATGAAATATGATTTCTCACTTGATTACTGTTGTTGGGACTTGGGCCTGTCACTCATATGATGATGATGCATGGGTGAAGTAATAAAATTACCAGCTTTTATATTTCACAGCAAAATGCACTTGTCTTTGCACAGTTTGTTGGTTCATTAGTCAGTACATATACATAATTTTCCCAAACAAATGTTGCGGGCTAACAGTTTTTCTAATTGAAATGTTCTTGTGGTTTATTTTTATATTCTTGTAAAGCCATCTGTTACATCTTCTGCGAGACGTACTTGATCATTCCTCAACTGTAGTGAGTTTCTTTATACAGCTCTCTCTTGTATATATGTACATGTATACACACACATTATACACATACACACACGTGTACACATTATAATATGCGTGTGCGTGTGTGTATCTTAGTGTATGGGTTGCCGATGGAGGAAAAAAAAAATTATTCTCGCAACCAGTTGTTGAAACTTTGGAAGAGTACATTTCTCTGGAAGATTATTACTACATTAGACAGGTGATGGGCTAAGACAAAGCCACATGTAAGTTATTCTTTAGGGAAAGGATAAAGTCATATAAGTGTATCTACGCAAAGAGAGTACCTTTTGCTGATTTAGCCTGCTGAACAGGTTTAGTTTTCAAATAAAATAGTCTTTTGCACAGCTATCAGTATTATAATAATAACTGATAAACAAAAAAATAGTATGTTCACAAAAATAACCAAGGTAGAGCTAACCTTCTTGTGTTTGTGCATATATTACACCTTGCCAAGTAGTGTGCTCCAGTACTATGAAAATATTCTCTGATTTTTTTTTAGTTGCCAAAAATAAATAAATTCAGAGTATTTTCATAGTATCGGAGTACACTTTTAAAAAAAAAAAATAGAATAAGCATAGCTCTTTCACCCTGTCAAAAATAAGCATAGATCTTTCCTGAATGTCATTGTGCAATGAGATGTCTAACTCTTTCACTACATACTACATTTTTGACAGCTAGCGCAGAAGGAGCTTCAAAAGATAAATATGTACAGGGCACCAAGGGACAAACTTGTGTGTATTCTTAATTGTTGCAAGGTTATCAATAACCTCTTGACTTCTGTTTCAGCAAACGAAAACCCTCCAGGAGCTGATGATTTTCTTCCAGTTCTCATATATGTCACCATAAAGGTAAGCTGGCTCATTTGCATTCATGTGATATATTATTCTTCAGAACTGATGGATCCCTTAGGTTGTGAATTATTGTATGGTATGCTCCCAGATAACTCATCCAGATGAACTTAAGCGAACTATGAAATAAATTTCAAAAGATAGTCTGCCTTTCCATCGCCAATGATCTACAAAAAACATGAATATGTTGCAGTATTTTCTTCTGTCCTGAGAAACAAAATAAGTGTTGTTTATTCTTTTCCTGCAATGGGGATATTTCGGGGGAGCATTATCTTCTGTCCTACTCAGAACTGTTAAGGCTTCAATTTAGCACGTGTTCAATGTTTTTGCTTAGGCATATTATCATTTATCAGAATCTTCCTTTTATATTCCCTTTATTTCTTCTCATTTTCGGACAAAGTTATTGCCTTCTCTATCATGATTATCAGACGGAGGATTTTCCAACTGCATATCATCTTGATATTCAATTCCTTAACTCTTTGCTCATCTTCCGTGACTTCCATGTGCTAGTCTACTGTAATGGTTTCCCTATAGGGCAGTTGATTTCAGCATTAGAGGCCTAACGGCACCGAGCAAGGTTTGCCTGGACAATATTCCAGCTTTGGTACATCCTTATCAAAAAAAATAAAAAAAATAAAAAAAATCCAACTTTGGTACATGTATTAGGGAAGGGATTGCTGGTATGCTGGTGCGACTAATTAGTTTTGGATTCTTTTGCCCAAGCTGACTAACATGGGAGATTGTAATTCTCTCTAATGAATCAACAGTAGAAACTTTCTTATTTGCTTATGTTGGAATTCATGAAAGGGAGGCATCCAGATTAGTGGCGAAAGAATCCATTATTGCACCTTTCTCTTTCCTATCATCGTCACCCGCCTTTCATCCCCCAAATAGCTTGTATGTTATTTTTGAATTGGGCTAACATTATATGAATTGTAACATTATAATTCTCCCGCAGATATTTGAAGGAAAAAAAAGTGAGCTTTAATCTCAATAAGATTCTCGACAAAATCCTTGAATTGATGAAACATGAGTGGGATATTCCCAGATCCTCGCGCACACCGTCCTTCCAAATCCCCGCAGTATAATCTGATTCACAGTCCATTTATTTTTACATTCACAATCTCTTCTATTATCATCTGATGCTATTTTTCTTTTATCCCATCTCTGTACCCATGATTACTAGTGTTGTAAATGAGGTTTTAGTTCCTTGTCTATTTAATACTGAAGAATGATCGAAGTTCTTTCTGTTCCCCTTATTCTAATTGACTAATTGTACAATTCCTTTTTTGCCCTTGTACTCAGTTTTTAAATTAGCTTTTATTTTTTGTCACAATCAGGCTAACCCCCCTCAACTGCACTCAAATCTATTGTACATACAAAGGTTTAGGCGGCAAACTCGCTTGGTTTCTGAAGCTGCATACTTCTTCACAAACATTCTTTCTGCAGAATCTTTCATTTTGAATATCGATGCAAAGGCTCTTTCTATGGATGACACCGAGTTTGAAACAAATATGGAATCTGCTCGAGCACTTCTTGCTGGTCTTTCAGACGACAACAATGTACTGGGTCAAAGTGATCAGAAGTTTGGACCTGTTCCTGGATCAGACACTTATGAGGCTAAACTAAGTTTTAGGTCAAATAGGCCTCAAAGCCCTGCTACACTGCCAAAATTCTCAGTTGCATCAACAGAAACAAAATCCAAGAACGAGGATCCATATGTCAAAAGTCAGTCATCAATGGAAAAGATTCCATCACTCTCGGATCTAGAAAACAGAGGGGCTGGTATGCTTATGAAGGAGGATAGTGTCAGCCAAGTGTTTCAAAGTTTCCCCTACCTATATTCCCAGGCTGGTGACCTAACAGTTGGTGATGTCGAAGAACTACTAACCAATTACAAGCACCTCGTTTTCAAGTATGTTTGCCTTGCTAAAGGATCCGGCATTGGCAATCCATCTCCACCATTGCCCAATAATCAAGGACAAAGTCAACTCCCTGAATCTGAAATCACCACTGAATCAAAAGCCACCTCAGCAGGAGAGCCAAATGATGAGATGCAAAAGGATGGTCCCGAGGATTCAAGTTCAGTACTTTCTCAGTCTCTTGAGAGTGATGAATCCAAGTTAAAGGAAAATGAAGTTGTTTCAGGTAGAGGTGAAGAAGGGAGCGAAGTTTTGCAAATATAATTCAGTGGAAAACTAATGTAGAATCATGTTATTGTTTATGTTGTTTCTGTCTGTTTAGCAACAGAATGAGGATCCACTTGATTCTTTCTGGACAGTATAATAGAAGTCAGAAATCCTGATCTT